CCCGGTGAGGCTGGTTAATTCCTCATCCTCTCAAATGCCCCCATCCACAGGGAGCTTCACTGCTTCCAGGGCACGTTCAGAGCCACCCTCTCATGCAGTCCCCAAAAATGGTCTTGTGAGCTGGGCTGGCCCAGGATATTATCCCATTTTAGAGATGAGGACATGGAGACCAAGAGAGGAGGTCTCACACACACACTTGCCCAAGTGATAGAGACAGGACTCCCACTTTATTTTGGGGGATTCCAGCTCAGTTTCTCTTACCTCAGTGACTCAGGCATGCCCCCGAGCCTCCAGCCTGCTGCTCAATGGCACATGTATAATTTGGTTCCCCAAACATCTTCCCCAAGTGAATGTGTGCTCCAAGTTAAAGAAAACTATTTCATGGAAGGCTGTTTTGTTTTGTGCCAGTTCCTCACTTTTCTCCCCTCCAGTGCCAATGCAAGAAAAACTTTCGTTACTTAAAAGTCAGGTTTATTAAAGTGTAATTTACACACATAAAGTACAATTGGATGAGTTCTGAAAAAAGCATACACTCCTGGAATCATCACTAATCTAGATAAAATATTTTCATCACCCCCAAAAATTCTCCTTTGCAGCTTGCCTTCCCTACTCACAGGTACACTGTAGGTAAATAAATAACAGCTACTTAATAAAGTTAATTGTAACGTCTAGTAACTATAACTCGGTTCAAGTAATACAAGAAAGAAATCAGTCATTTAGTCTACTAAACACAAAATATACCTTGCAGCAGTTACCGGGGATGTTTTAAAGTCTTTCTTTACGACTTCAGGGCTTTTTCCTTTCTTGGTTGTGTCCAACATCCATGGAATTTAAGACATCTTCATCCTTTAAGGGAGTGAAGTCACAAAGAGGGGTACTTATACTAGAGATTTTTTTTCACAACCATATTCCTCGGGCCCCATCAAACATCTATTGAAACTTCCAAAGCTCTTGTAAAAGACACCCCAGGCTGAAAAGAAATGCGACCTATATAGTCTTATAAAGTCCACAAGACTTTGGGTACATTAGGCTTCTGAAGAGTGTTAATTTTTGCTAACTGAAATGACAAAATGATGAAATACGTAGGATTGGTTTTACTCTCCCTGCTTGTTACTTGAGCACAGTTAGAATAAGAACAAAATAAGCTTGATAGATTCCCCCCTAATAACTGGTAACTTACTGTGAAGTATTTTTGACCTTCACCAGGATGCTCTAGACTAAAAAAACACTTACATGAAATGGTAGCTTTAGCTGAGAACTCAGTAGATACTTGCAACAGTCCTGTACCAAATGAAAGCACTGCCCTGTGACATTTGACATTCAGGTAACTTTATTTAAATTCAAAAACAATTCCTAAAATGGAATTTAGAGTCAAGACTCCTTTATATTGTAAAAATCATAAGATGTATCTCTAAGTAAGGCAAAAGTAGTTCAGGTTAACAGGACCAGATTTGACTTTAGACTTTATTCTTTAAACAAATTACAGAGAATACAAAACCACCCAACTATGTGGAAACTGAACAATCTGCTCCTGAATGAATACTGGGTAAATAATGAAATTAAGGCAGAAATAAATAAGTTCATTGGAATCAATGAGAACAAAGACACAATGTACCAGACAGAATCTCTGGGGCACAGCTAAAGCAGTGTTAAGGGGGAAATTTATAGCACTAAGTGCCCATATCAGAAAGTGGGAAAGATCTAACATTGACACCCTAACATCACAATTAAAAGAACTAGAGAAGCAAGAACAAACAAATTCAAAAGGTAGCAGAAGACAAGAAATAACTAAGATGAGAGCAGAACTGAAGGAGATAGAGACACACAAAAAAATTGCAAAAAAATGAATCCAGGAGCTGGTTTTTTGAAAAGATTGACAAAATAGATAGATTACTAGCCAGACTAATAAAGAAGAAAAGAGAGAAGAATCAAATAGACACAATAAAAAATAATAAAGGGGATATCACCACTGATCCCCACATAAATGCAGACTACCATCAGAGAATACTATAAACACCTCTGTGCAAGTAAACTAGAAAATCTAGAAGAAACGGATACATTTCAGGATACATACCTTCTCCCAAGACTAAACCAGGAAAAAGTTGAATCCCTGAATAGATCAATAATAAGTTCTGAAATTGAGGCAGTAATTAATAGCCTACCAACCAAAAAAAGCCCAGGACCAGATGGATTCACAGCCAAATTCTACCAGAGGTACAAAGAGGAACTGGTGCCATTCTTTCTGAAACTATTCCTAACAATAGAGAAAGAGGGAATCCTCCCTAACTCGTTTTATGAGGCCAGCATCATCCTGATACCAAAACCTGGCATAGACACAACAAAAAAAGAAAATTTCAAGCCAATATCCCTGATGAACAGTGATGTGAAAATCCTCAACAAAATACTGGCAAACTGAATCCAGCGGCACATCAGAAAGCTTATACACCAAGATCAAGTTGGCTTCATCCCTGGGATGCAAGGCTGGTTCAACATATGCAATTCAATAAACATAATCCATCACATAAATAGAACCAATGACAAAAGCCACATGATTATCTTAATAGATGCAGAAAAGGCTGATAAAATTCAACACTCCTTCATACTGAAAACACTCAATAAATTAGGTATTGATGAAACATATCTCAAAATAATAAGAGCTATTTATGATAAACCCATAGCCAATATCACACTGAATGAGCAAAAGCTGGACGGATTCCCTTTGAAAACCGGCACAAGACAAGAATGCCTTCTCTCACCACTCCTATTCAATACAGTACTGGAAGTTCTGGCTAGGGCTATCAGGAAAGAGAAAGAAATAAAGGGTATTCAAACAGGAAGAGAAGAAGTCAAATTCTCTGTCTTTGTAGATGACATAATTGTATATTTAGAAAACTCCATTTTCTCAGCCCAAAATCTCCTTAAGCTGATAAGCAACTTCAGCAAAGTCTCAGGATATAAAGTCAATGTGCAAAAATCACAAGCATTCCTACACACCAATAATAGACAAACAGAGAGCCAAATCATGATAAACTCCCATTCATAATTGCTACAAAGAAAATAAAATATCTAGGAATACAACTTATAAGGGACAGGAAGGACCACTTCAAGGAGAACTACAAACCACTGCTCAAGGACATAAGAGAGGACACAAACAAATAGAAAAACATTCCATGCTCATGGATAGGAAGAATCAATATCATGAATATGGCCATACTGCTCAAAGTAATTTATAGATTCAATGTTATCCCCATCAAGCTACCATTGGCTTTCTTCATGGAACTAGAAAAAATGACTTTAGCTTTCATGTGGAACCAAAAAAGAGTTCATATAACCAAGACAATCCTAAGCAAAAAGAACAAAGCTGAAGGCATCATGCTATCTGATTTCAAATTACACTACAAGGCTACAGTAACCAAAACAGCATGTATTGGGACCAAAACAGATATATAGACCAATGGAATAGAACAGAGGCCTCAGAAAAACACCACATATCTACAACATCTGATCTTCAACAAACCCAACAAAAACAAGCAATGGGGAATAGATTCCCGGCTTCATAAATTATGCTGGGAAAAATGGCTAGCCATATGCAGAAAATTAAAACTGGAACTCTTCTTTACATCTTTTATAAAAATTAACTCAAGATGCATTAATGACTTAAACATAAGACCTAAAACCAAAGAAACCTTAGAAGAAAACCTAGACAATACCCTTCAGGACATAGGCATGAGCAAAGACTTCATGACTAAAACACCAAAAGCAATTGTAACCAAAGCCAAAACTGCCAAACAGGATCTAATTACACTAAAGAGCTTCTCCACAGCAAAAGAAACTATCATCAGAGTGAACAGGTAACCTACAGAATGGGAGAAAATTTTTGCAATTTATCTATCTGACAAAGGTCTAATATCCAGAATCTACAAGGAACCTAAAAAAATTTACAAAAAAAAAAAACCCCAAACAACCTCATCAAAAAGTGGTTGAAGGATATGAACAGATACTTCTCAAAAAGAAGACATTTATGTGGCCAACAAACATATGAAGAAAAGCTCATAATCACTGGTCATTAGATAGATGCAAATCAAAACCACAATGAGATACCAGTTAGAATGGCAATCATTAACAAGTCAGGAAACAACAGATGCTGGAGAGGATGTGGAGAAATTGGAATGCTTTTATACTGTTGGTGGGAGTGTAAATTAGTTCAACCATTGTGGAAGACAATGTGGTGATTCCTGAAGGATCTAGAACCAGAAATACCATTTGACCTAGCAATCCCATTACTGGGTGTATACCCAAAGGATTATAAATCATTCTACTATAAAGACACATGCACACGTATGTTTATTGCAGCAATATTCACAATAGCAAAGACTTGGAACCAATCCAAGTCCCCATCAATGATAGACTGGATAAAGAAAATGTGGCAGATATACACTAGAGAATACTATCCATCCATAAAAAAGGATGAATTCATGTCCTTTGTGGGGACATGGATGAAGCTGGAACCCCTTATCCTCAGCAAACTAACACAGCAACAGAGCACCAAACACCACATGTTGTCACTCATAAGTGGGAATTGAACAATGAGAACACATGGACACAGGGAGGGGAACATCACATACTGGGGCCTATTGGGGGGTGGAGAGGAAGGGGAGGGAGAGCATTAGGTCAAATACCTAATGCATGCGGGGCATAAAACCTAGATGACAGATTGATGGGTGCAGCAAACCACCATGGCACAAGTATACCTGTATAACAAACCTGCACGTTCTGTACATATATCCCAGAATATTACAATATAATAATTAAAAAATTATAAAGAATAGAGAAAAATAGGTTATGTGCAGAAAATTATATCTACCTATGTACTCAGAAGCATAAATTTGGTGACAGAAAATACTTCAGTATATACGGACATCTCAGAAGCAGTTCTGAAAGAGCGTAGTTTTATTTTCTTGAATTTTAGGAATGCCTAAGGTCCTTCTTCGTCCTCAATATTAGGAGGCAAGTAGTACTTGCTTTAAATGTTTCATGTTAGCAATGTTATGCTCTACAGAGGGTACATCTGCAGACATACCAAGTGTCACTGTAGAAGAGCGTGGAGTGGCTTTTGTGAAGTTCAGGTACATCAGTGCAAAAGTTAGCTGAACTGATTCATTCATCTCTATGGTAACAGCTTCCTCCTCTTTATCAACATTACTTATTTGTGACAATTTAATGTTTCCATTTGCAAGTCCTCTAGTTGCAGAAAATTTCACTCCATCTTTTGCACAGGAAATTACAACAGCATCTCCAATATGACTGAGATCTCGACATATGCATGCAAATTCACCAGCAGCCATCTTTACTACACAGCTGTACTCATGTTCTGGAATTCCAAGCTGTTCAACATCCAAATCCATTAGCTTCATTCTATAGTCTGAAACTTTCTCCTGATTTAGTGCTTCAAGTGCTAGTGCTAAGGTGCCTGCATTATCTTCAGCCCCAAGTGTCATGACATCTTTATTGCCAGCACAGTTTAGTATTTTGAACATACTGGTGAGGTTCATGGCTATGGTCCGGTTGCAGCTGCAGCAGCATATGTTGAAGCCCTTTGAGTGCTGGGTGAGCTGCCCCAAGGAGATGCAGGATGAGTCCATGCTGTACACATTCAGCTGCTTGAGCTAATATCCTGGCAGCCCTCACTGATGAGGTCCTTGAGGGCCTCCAACACATTCTTCAGGGTGGAGCCCTGGACCAGGCTTACCTTGAACATGGTGGAGTCACAGTGACGTGGCTACAGGCAGGTGTGAAGGAAGAAGCTATAGCCACTTATGGCTTTATGAAGCTCAAAGCAAGTGAGCAAATGCAATGGGAAGAGGCTGAGACTTAGAAAGATGATGACAAGTCCACTATGCCTGCAACTGTTTAATCAAGCCTTGGTTTTTTTAAATGAAGTGCTGGTGCGAGTTCAGGGGCATGACTGGTAGAATTCACCATCCTCAGAATATCTTTCTGGCAGAAGCCCGGAAGTCATGCTGGGATCCACACCCACCCCACCTCCTGCTCCTGCAGTTTCTACTGGCATCACTGAGGACAGTGGAGACTTGTCCATTACTCTGGCAGGGATTGGACATGCCTCCAGTGGGTTGTCACCCCAGAAAGCAGAGAGCAAAGGGAGTCTCTGGCTAGGCTGTCGCTAGCCCCTGAGTGGATGCCTCATGCCCAGGGATTGGCAGGTGAGTTACTGAAGCCCCAGGCTGATGGTAGCCAAGTTTCTTGAGGCCTTTACCTTGCATGTTGCTGGGTGGCACTATTGTAGTCAGGAGAGGAGGGCCAGAGAGGCATGGAGGCTGTCTGCCCTCAAGCTTTTTCCTGGGAGGCCTGCAGGTACCTAAAGTGTCAGAAAGGCCATTAGTGCTTCCTCCCCAGGTGTCCCAGTGATCTGAGAGATGATCTTAGAAGTCTGTTGGAGGAATATTGGGTTTTAAATGTAATAGTCATGCATTTTAATGTCTCTTCTATTTATGGCAAGTCATATAGGTTTTCAATTAATGGTCATAATGGTTTTTTAAAATGATGTTAAAAAAAGTGAATCTATTTAAAGAAAATTGTTCAGGGAAGCAGAATAGCATAATAGTTAAGAGAATGGACTCTGAAGACAGCCTTTTCCCACTGCATTTGCTCACTTGCTCTGAGCTTCATAAAGCCATAAGTGGCTATACCTCCTTCCTTCGCACCTGCCTGTAGCCATGTCACTGTGACTCCATTGTGTTCAAGGTAAGCCTGGTCCAGGGCTCCACCCTGAAGAATGTGTTGGAGGCCCTCATCAGTGAGGCCTGCCAGGATATTAGCTCAAGCAGCTGAATGTGTACAGCACTACACTTACCAGCTGTGAGACAGTGGGCGAGTTCTTCACTCTGCTGCCGTTTCCTTATCTTTAAGGAATAACGGTAGTACCCACTTCATGAGTTAGTTCATGTAAGCACTTACAACATGTCCCAGCTCACACTAAGCATCACATAGGTAACTTAAATGAAATGCAGTGAATCAAGGTGGTAGGGAAGCATAGGGCAAAAGTAATGAGAAGGGATCTGCGACAAGAGAAGGTCGTAGGCATGTTTGTCTTCTGCAGTCCTTGCTGTGGCATTTGGGGGCCCAGGGAGCAGAAGGGTTGTATCCAAGGTCATAAACCGATCATAGCATGGCAGGGCAGGATGAAATCCCTGCTCAAGTGATTCGCTGTCTACTATAGGGCTGGAGAGGTGGCCACCTCTATGGAGAAAGGCAGTTTGTCCCATGGACCACTCAAAATGGCAAACATAGTCTTCAAGATGGTTGACACAGACATTACCTTGGAGGTACCCTTGCCATCACTGACCCCTCAGATGGATACAGTTCCCCATAGCTCCACACTTGCTGATGAGAGGACCACAGCCATAAAGCAGTCGTCCAGAGTCTGTCCTAGGTAGATTTCAGGCCTCCATATTCCAGGGCCAGGTCATAGAGGTCATGGCTGGAGCCTTAGGACCTACCACAGAGCTGGCCCAGAGAAGCCTCTGAATGAAGGTTTGGTGACTCACTGAATGAATGAAAGGATAAACAAATGCTCTTTCATCATTCCCATTACATGGATCAGCTGATCAGCTAAGCAGAGGATAGGTATGTGACCAAGAGCCCCTTTAGTGCAGTGTGTGTGTGTTGTTCTGTCCGTGGGCGAGGCTGTTGAGGTATGTGTCTGCAGATGGTGCTAGCATAGTGCTGGGTGTGTCACACACTAGGACATGCCCTACACTTGTCGTGCAAGTTCTGTCACCTCTGGGATCTGAAAGATCATAAATTCCTAGAGTGGAGCAACAGTGAGGTTTGGGGAGATTGAAGGATGGGATGGAGGCGTGACATTTCTGGGGCCCAGGACTTGAGGAAGTAAGAGAGGATGGTGTTTATGAAGGCACTTGGCTGCAAGAGTGAGGTCCTGTAGGCAGGTTTAGAGCTTATTATAATAACTTTGGCATGAGCTGCTGACATGGGCACCTCACTCTGTAGTTTACCTGAAGCACTGCCTCTCCAGTTTCATCACTGGCTCCTCAGCACTGCATGAGAGCAGAGCAGTCATTGCAGTTCCTATTTAAAAACAAAGTCTATTAAAAGCTGGGTAGAATCAGCTCCTCTGAGCTCATGTCTGGTATGATGTCAAACTAGGCTGCCTTCTGGTTGTGTATATCCTAGTAACCAGTCCTGGGCATGGCATGGTGCTTAGCACATAATTCTCATCCCCCACCTCCAGGATTGTTTGCTGATGAGTCAGTGACTAAATGAATAGTGCGACAAGAGACCTGGGGCGAGGGCAAAGGGGTCAAGTCAGGGCTGGAGAGTGCAGGAGGCAGAAAGGGCTGGAAGGAATTCTCTGAAGATGGGCTGCTTCTTTCATGACTATGTTGGCCAGGCCAGGTTTCAGTTCAAGATTCTTATTGCTTTTAATTTATCAGAAAATGCGTTACTGGTTCCCTAAATATTGAGAATAAATCCAGAGGCCTCACCATGGGCCACAAGGTGCCATATGAACTGGCTGCCCATTCCCTTCTCTCTTCTACTCTATAGCCCCTCGAATGTCACTTCATTGGCCGCCTTTGGCCATTACTAAAACATTTCGTATACTTAGGCCTCAGGGCCTTTGCAGTTGCTGTTCCCTCTACCTGACATGCCTTTCCCCCACTGTCTACCTCAAATGTACCTCCTCAGAGAGGCCCTCTCTGCCTCCATGGCCTGCCTTGTCTTTCTCCATAACACTGATTGCTCCTTGGCTTTTTATTGCATATGCATTTCTATCTGTCTACTGCAAATGAAGCATCACAAGGCCAGAGATCTTTGCCTGCTTTGTTCATTGCTATATGCCCAGTGCCTAGCAAAATGACTCCCGTTTATTACGTATATTAGGCGTATTAGATACAAATTAAATGTATTTGAATGAGTTAGTGTGGTTTGAAGCTTTTACCCCTCTGAGGCTTCTGGGTGTACCACTTTCACAGGAAGACTGATCCTGGCCTAGGATGCTAGTGCCTGCAAAGTAGCAGAGCTTGTACTTTATTAGATTCACTATATCCTTAGGAAAGAGGAGGCATGTTGGACAAGATGCAGCCCCAGCCCCCAAGCCTCTGCCAAAACCAACGTGTCCCAATCTGAAGCAGATTCTAGTTGAGCTGGGTGGACTGGTAGACCAGCATCCCTCTGACCAGAGCAGATGTATATGGCAGGACTGGGAAAGGCCAGGACTGAGAATGGCTGAGATCAGTACATCAGGGGTCAGAGAGCAAGACAGGGATCTGGGGCTAGGGCTGGGAAGAGCCAATGGGTCCTTGGTGGGGATTTAGAGGAGCTGGGTAGCTGATATGGTTTGGGTGTGTCCCTACCCAAATTTCATCTTGAACTGTAGCTTCCATCATTCCCATGTGTCATGGGAGGGACCCAGTGGGAGAAAATTGAATCATGGGGGTTGTTTCCCCCACACTGCTCTCATGGTAGTGAATAAGTCACACAAGATCTGATGATTTTATAAGGGGAAACCCCTTTCACTTGGCTCTCATTCTTCCTTACCTGCCACCATGTAAGACGTGCCTTTTGCTTTCCACCACGATTGTGAGGTTTCCCCAGCCACGTGGAATGGTAAGTCCACATGAAAAAGAGGAGTCCAGCCGCCTCTTTTTCTTTATAAATTACCCAACTCAGGTATGTCTTTATCAGCAGTGTGAAAATGAACTAATATAGTAGCCAACGTGTCTGGAATGATAATGGGGTGCCAGTTCAGGTAGCTTCTTGTAAGCCATTGATACTTAGGATTTCTCTGCTAGGCCTACCTGGGCATGAAATGTCCATTTCTCGGCAGGAAAAATGACAATATGAAATATGTAAACGTCCTACATATCTATTATTTCATAACAACCATGTACAGTACATTTATTCATTTAACCAACAAATATGTGTTGACCCCTTGTAAGAACCAGGCACTGTAGATGTTGCCTTAGTCACTGTCTCAGTCCATTTGTGTTGTATGGACTCAGGCTTACCTGAGGCTGGATGATTTATAAAGAAACGAGGTTTATTTGGCCAACAGTTGTGCAGGCTGTACAAGAAGTATGGAGCTGGCGTTTGTTGAGGGTGTAGCTTCTGGTGAGGGTCTCAGGCTGTCTCCACTCATTGCAGAAGTGGAAGGAGAGCTGGTTGTGCAGAGATCATGTGATGAGAGAGAAAGCAAGGGAGGGGAGGGAGGTATTAGGCTTTTTATAACAATCAGTGCTCCCGGGAACCAACAGAGAACTCATTACCTCAAGGGGGCACCAAGCCATTCATGAGGGATCCATCTCCATGACCCAAACACCACCCATTAGGCCCCACCTCCAACCCTGGGGATTAAATTTCAACATGAGGTTTGGGGACAAATATCCAAACTATAGCAGTCACATACAGAAAATCTCTACATTTATAGGGGTAACTAACACTCCTTCAATGAAATGGATGACTGTTTACTAAAATACGTCAGTTGCTTTATCAACAGTGCTAAGAATAGTGTTTATTACACAGTAGATGCTCAATTAATATTTTTGAATTGCTGTATTAATATGTAGGTTAATGAGCTCACCCATTTACTGAACAAGGAAGTAGC